ATAGTTCTAGCCGACCTGTGACAATGAGACTGTCACAGGTCGGCTCAGTAGATCGGGAGGTGAGAGAACACATACCGGCGTTCGCTCACCTCTCGATCCTGTCACGGCTCTCTGCCATCCAGGGATCGACCGCGGTATTCCTGTAACTGCCGGGGAAGGGATATTGCTCCGGTCCGTCCACCAATGATCGCCATACCTGCTTCTCTGCTTCCATCATGGCGTGCTATGGACCCTCACCCCGCCTGTGGGGTGCGGACAGGTTTGGGGTCCCTTTTAAAGTAAAACCAAAACCTACCATTTTGTACAGAATCGTGATTAGTTTTGCCTCCTGTATAGAGATTTTCATTCACTTCCTGTCCTGCAGACACAACAGGAAGTGAGAGGAGATCTCTCTAAAGTGAGGAAAATTGGAACAGGTGTCCCCAAAGGAAGATTCCCCTCTATCCCTGATCTGGGGACAACTGAGGTCCATTCACGCGTCTGTGTTGCGGTGCGTTAAGCCGGTGGCGGACGCATGAATATGGAATCCGGGAGCCAGCAGGATTTTTTAGGAGTTCCATTGACAACTAGAGAGCACCTTAAAATTTGGGCGCCAGCTGTCATTCTGAAGGACCATTGGCTGTAGACTGATAGGGGGCGTAAGAGTGATAATCTGCGGCACTTGATGTCTCTAAGAAAGGCGCGATCACATTACACTCTTCACTAAAGCAGCATAGAGGTGTGATCGCGGCCCGGTAATAGATACCAACAGACAGCGCAGTCAGCACTGCAACCATGTACAGCGCCGTCTGCAGAATCCATTGCTAAAGAGAACCCGTCACTGTACAAGTGTATGAATCCCAACATGTCACAAGAGAGTCCTCTTTAAGGGACTCTCCTTCACACTTCTGTGTGTGGCATTGGACTGGAGACACTTTGGGGTCATTTCTGTGATATGAATGTAAATTATTATAAAGTCTCCATTCGGCGTCTGCGGCAAATGTGACCCCGAAAGATTCCAAATCCTCACATTGACCCTCCCGCACCCCGAGATTTCTCACATCCATCCCCCGCCCCCATCCCCCCCCTTTCTGTACAGCGGAGCTTACACTCTAATGCCCCCCCACCGCCACACCCGTCCCT